TCCCTGCCTCCCTCCCTCCCTCCCTCCCTCCCTCCCTGCCTCCCTCTCTGCCTCCCTCCCTGCCTCCCTCCTAGCCTCCCTCCCTCCCTCCCTCCCTGCCTCCATCCCTCCCTCCCTCCCTCCCTCCCTCCTGCCTCTCTCCCTGCCTCCCTCCCTCCCTCCCTGCCTCCCTCCCTGCCTCCCTCCCTCCCTCCCTGCCTCCCTCCCTCCCTCCCTCCCTCCCTCCCTGCCTCCCTCCCTCCCTCCCTCCCTCCCTCCCTCCCTCCCTCCCTGCCTCCCTCCCTCCCTCCCCTCCCTCCCTCCCTCCCTCCCTCCCTGCCTCCCTCCCTCCCTGCCTCCCTCCCTGCCTCCCTCCCTGCCTCCCTCCCTCCCTCCCTCCCTCCCTCCCTCCCTCCCTCCCTCCCTCCCTCCCTGCCTCCCTCCCTGCCTCCCTCCCTCCCTCCCTCCCTCCCTCCCTCCCTCCCTCCCTGCCTCCCTCCCTCCCTCCCTCCCTCCCTCCCTCCCTGCCTCCCTCCCTCCCTGCCTCCCTCCCTCCCTCCCTCCCTCCTCCCTCCCTCCCTCCCTCCCTGCCTCCCTCCCTCCCTCCCTCCCTCCTCTGACTCATCCCGGGTTCACTCTCTATCTCTTCTTGTGCATGTGTATCTGTGCGTGTCCGTAAATGTATGTAGTAGTGTGTGTTTGTGGTGTGTGTGTGTGTGTGTGTGTGTGTGTGTGTGTGTGTGTGTGTGTGTGTGTGTGTGTGTGTGTTCTCACTTAGTAATGTTGATAAATGGTTCAGAGAACCGACAAGCTGATAAATTAGACACATGTGCAGCACTTGGGTATCTTTATTGAGGAAACGTTTCGCCACACAGTGGCTTCATCGGTCCTATACAAAGGAGAATATCGGAGGGAGGTTGAGGTAATCAGTCCCTCAGCCTAGAGTCGATGTAATCGGTCCATCAGTCTTGACTGATGAATAAGTGGTGGAGACGGGCTCAATACAGATTCAAGAGTAGGTATGATTGAGCCCAAGAGGCTAGGACCCACCACTACCACCATCGGTCCATCATAGGTTAAGCAGTGGGGTCCAGGAGCTGAAAATAAACCAACGTAAACATAATCTGATGAGTTTAAAAACATGTCGGATCTCGCCTTCAAGGATTATAACAATGTCACTATCACAGCCTCAAGGAAAACCATAGACTGGATAACTAGAACCTATAAAGCAAGGAATGCTGGAGTGCTGATGTACTCTTGACAGCTCCGTCCAAGCTAGGTGAGATTACAGACCTTGAGAATGTGCAGAGAACCTTCACTGCTCGCATAGTCAGTCAAGGACCAAAATTACTGTGAAAGTTAGAGGTACCTTGATCTGTACTCTTTGAAACGGAGCGCAAGAGAGACATAATCTACACCTGGAAAATGTTGGGATTCATCCGAAATCTGCACACAAATCGTTCCCCATGAAAGTAAGGGCCTTGACAGACGGTGCAAAATACCGCCAATGTAAAGCAGAAATGCAGCTAGTACACTGTGGAAAAACTCAGTAAGAGGGAAGGGACCAAGACTTTTAAACACCTTCCTTTCATACATACTGGGGAGTATCAACAGACCCATGTCTATTTTTCAAGAAAGAACTGGACAGGTTCAGTGTCTGATCAGCCGGGCTGTGTTGTTGATGTTAGACTTCGTGTAGTTAGCACCAGCAGCCTGGTTGATCAGACTATCCACCAGGAGGCCTGGTCTGGGACCGGGCCGGGAAAGCGTTGACTCTTGGAGCACTCTCCAGGTAGACTCCAGGTATAGCCAGAGTGTGAGATGATCCACTAATAGATAACTATGGTGTACTCACCTATTTGTACTCACCTATTTGTGGTTGCAGGGGTCGAGTCTTAGCTCCTGGCCCCGCCTCTTCACCGGTTGCTACTGGGCCCTCTCTCTCCCCGCTCCATGAGCTTTATCAAACCTCGTCTTAAAACCGTGTATGGTTCCTGCCTCCACTACGTCATTTTCTAGGCTATTCCACTGCCTTACAACTCTATGACTGAAGAAATACTTCCTACTATCTCTCTGACTCATTTGTGTCTTCAACTTCCAATTGTGGCCTCTTGTTTCTGTGTCCCCTCCCTGGAACATCCTGTCTTTGTCCACCTTGTCTATTCCACGCAGTATTTTATATGTCGTTATACATGTCTCCCCGGACCCTCCTGTCCTCCAGTGTCGTCAGGCCGATTTCCCTTAATCTTTCTTCATAGGACATTCCCCTTAGCTCTGGAACTAACCTTGTCGCAAACCTTTGTTACTTTCTCTAGTTTCTTGACGTGCTTTATCAAGTGCGGGTTCCAAACAGGTGCTGCATACTCCAGTATGGGCCTGACATACACGGTGTACAGTGTCTTGAATGATTCCTTACTAAGGTATCGGAATGCTGTTCTCAGGTTTGCCAGGCGCCCATATGCTGCAGCAGTTATCTGATTGATGTGTGCTTCCGGAGACATGCTCGGTGTTATACTCACCCCAAGATCTTTCTCCTTGAGTGACGTTTGCAGTCTTTGGCCACCTAGCCTATACTCTGTCTGTGGTCTTCTGTGCCCTTCCCCTATCTTCATGACTTTGCATTTGGCAGGATTAAATTCGAGTGTGTGTGTGTGTGTGTGTGTGTGTGTGTGTGTGTGTGTGTGTACTCTCCTAACTCACCTAATTGTGGTTGCAGGGGTCGAGTGTGTGTGTGTTGCAGTGTGAGTGGTGGCAGGAAGAGCAACAACCTGAGTCACACTAACAACCGCTGTACTGGGGTGGTGAGGTTCAGTATATGAAGTCTACCTGCCTGAAATCTACCTGGAGGGTATTCCGAGGATCAACGCTCCCGCGGCCTAGTCCACGACCAGGCCTCCCGGTGGATCAGGGCCTGATCAACGAGGCTGTTACTGCTGGCCGCACGTAGACCAACGTACGAACCACAGCCCGGCTGATCTGGCACCGACTTTAATTATCTGTCCAGTTCCCTCTTGAAGGCAGCCAGGGGCCTATTGGTAATTCCCTTTATGCATGGTGGGAAGCTGTTGAACAGTCTTGGGCCCCGGACACTTATGGTATTTTTCTCTTAGTGTACCAATGGCGCCCCTATTTTTCATTGGGGGTATTTTGCATCGCCTGCCCAGTCTTTTCCTTTCGTAGGGAGTGATTTCTGTGTGCAAATTCGGGACCATTCCTTCTAGGATTTTCCAAGTGTAGATTATGATATATCTCTCTCGCTTCCGCTCCAGTGAGTACAAGTCAAGTGCTTCCAAGCATTCCCAGCACTTGAGGTGTTTGATAGAACTTATATGTGCAGTAAAGGTTCTCTGTACACTAGATCTGCAATTTCATCTGCTTTGAACGGAGATGTTAATGTACATCAGTATTCCAGCCTAGGGAGGACAAGTGGTTTAAAAAGGATCATCATTGGCTTGGCATCTCATGTTTTGAACGTTCTCATTATCCATCCTATCATTTTCTTTGCAGTTGTGATGGTGGTACTGTTGTGATCCTTGAAAGTGAGATCCTCAGACATTACCACTCCCAGGTCCCAGGTTCAGTATATGGGGTGGTGAGGTTTAGTGCATGGGGTTCAGTATATGGGGTGGTGGGGTTCAGTTTAGGGTGGTGAGGTCAGTTCATGGAGTGGTGAGGTTCAGTACACGAGGTTCAGTACATGGGGTGGTGGTAATAAGGTTCACACATGGGGTAGATGCCTGGCCTCAGCTGCACACGTGCGGTAAAAACAGTTAATATGTTGCTTCCTGTGTATGTATGTGTGCTTAACATTGTATCAGCCAGTGTTAACCTCCAGCTCCTGGGCTGATGTAGAGGGATGTGCTCTATTTACATATGAATATGTCAGCGGTTTTTTTTTTAAGTACTGTTTTTACACTCTTTGTTCCACCCCTTTATTTGTGTGTGTGTGTGTGTGTGTGTGTGTGTGTGTGTGTGTGGCGCCTTGACCTTCTCATACACTAGTATGGTGAATGATCTTTCATTATTCACATCTTATACACTTGTAATGTTATAATTTAGGTGATGCGCTAAACCTGTATGGGTCATTCATCACGAGGAGCCGTTGAGGCTTGATCCTCCGTCTGTTAATCACCGACAAGTTGAAGAATGAAACACTTGTGCAACATTTGGGAATACTGAGGAAACGTTTCGCCGGCCAATGGCTTCTTTAGTCCAATACAGAGAAGAACTGAGGAAGATGAGCAGTTTGAGGTAACGAGTCCCTCAGCCTGGAGTCCATGTGTTCAGTCCATCATTCTTGATTCCTTGGATCAAGAGCTCGCTGGCATCGAGGTATCTCCTTTGAAGAGAGGTGCTGAATAATCCACACGGGTTTAGCGCTTCACACTGTGTACATACAACAGGTCAGGTCGCGGCCGTAAGAGTAACATTTATATTGTGTTGCAGGCCAGGTTGCTGCCGTAAGAATATTTATGCTGTGTTGCAGGTCAGGTCGCTGCCGTAAGAATATTTATGCTGTGTTGCAGGTCAGGTCGCTGCCGTAAGAATATTTATGCTGTGTTGCAGGTCAGGTCGCTGCCGTAAGAATATTTATGCTGTGTTGCAGGTCAGGTCTCTGCCGTAAGAATATTTATGCTGTGTTGCAGGTTAGGTCGCTGCCGTAAGAATATTTATGCTGTGTTGCAGGTCAGGTCGCTGCCGTAAGAATATTTATGTTGTGTTGCAGGCCAGGTCGCTGCCATAAGAGTAACTTTTATACTCTGTTGCAGGTCAGGTCGCTGCCATAAGAATAACTTTTATACTGTGTTGCAGGTCAGGTCGCTGCCGTAAGAATATTTATGTTGTGTTGCAGGCCAGGTCGCTGCCGTAAGAATATTTATACTGTGTTGCAGGTCAGGTCGCTGCCATAAGAGTAACTTTTATACTGTGTTGCAGGTCAGGTCGCTGCCATAAGAATAACTTTTATACTGTGTTGCAGGTCAGGTCGCTGCCGTAAGAGTAACTTTTATACTGTGTTGCAGGTCAGGTCGCGGCCGTAAGAGTGAGAGAAGTCCACCACCAGGTGACGTTGACGCGCCCGACCGCAAGTCCACCTCCCCCAGGTCAGTACCAGCTCTACCAGGTCATTTAGTTCAATACCAAGTCAGTATTCAGTCATTCAAGTCAGTACCAAGTCATACAGGTTAGTACTAGGCCTGTACTATGTCATACAGATTAGTACCAGGCCAGTACTAAGCCATACAGATTAGCACCAGGCCTGTAGTAAGTCATACGGGTTAGTACTAGGCCAGTAGTAAGTCATACAGGTCAGGTCACTGAGTCAGTACTAAGTCATTCCCGCCAAATTTCAGCTGTTTACTACAAATTATCCTCCAAATCTTAGCTGTTCACTGCATATTTTCCGTCTCGTGCCACGTATCAGCTGTTTACTACGTCTCTCGTGCCACGTATCAGCTGTTTACTACGTCTCGTGCCACGTATCAGCTGTTTACTACGTCTCTCGTGCCACGTATCAGCTGTTTACTACGTCTCTCGTGCCACGTATCAGCTGTTTACTACGTCTCGTGCCACGTATCAGCTGTTTACTACGTCTCGTGCCACGTATCAGCTGTTTACTACGTCTCGTGCCACGTATCAGCTGTTTACTATAATTTTCCCGCTAAATATCAGCTGGGAATGACGCAATCGTCCAAATATAAACAAAGGCACACTTCTCTCAATGAACGGGCGCGGGACAACCGGCTGAGCCAGCCAACACAGGCACATTTAATTATCAACGAGTGCCAGGTATGATGGTAGAGTACGGCGCCCCATTCTCTCTGCATCATATATAGGCACTACCATCCTGGGAGCCCAACTCACCTTCTGTGTATTTTGGATGATGCGTGTTGCTCGCTGGTCAGTGACCAATACTAAATAGCAGGGAGGATGTGGTTCTTGCCGCGTGGAAACTCTTGTGTTTGTTTCTGTGAGTGGTTATTAGTGTTTGTTTCTGTGTGTGGTTGTAGGAGTGGTGTTTGTTTCTGTGAGTAGTTGTAGGAGTGGTGTTTGTTTCTGTGAGTAGTTGTAGGAGTGGTGTTTGTTTCTGTGAGTAGTTGTAGGAGTGGTGTTTTTTCTGTGAGTGCTTGTAAGAGTGGTGTGTGTTTCTGTGAGTAGTTGTAGGAGTGGTGTTTGTTTCTGTGAGTAGTTGTAGGAGTGGTGTTTGTTTATGTGAGTAGTTGTAGGAGTGGTGTTTTTTCTGTGAGTGCTTGTAGGAGTGGTGTTTGTTTCTGTGAGTAGTTGTAGGAGTGGTGTTTGTGTCTGTGAATAGTTGTAGGAGTGGTGTTTTTTCTGTGAGTGCTTGTAGGAGTGGTGTTTGTTTCTGTGAGTAGTTGTAGGAGTGATGTTTCTGTGAGTAGTTGTAGGATTGGTGTTTGTTTCTGTGAGCGGTTGTAGGAGTGGTGTTTGTTTCTGTGAGTAGTTGGAGTGGTGTTTCTGTGAGTACTTGTAGGAGTGGTGTTTGTTTCTGTTAATGGTTGTAGGAGTGGTGTTTGTTTCTGTGAATGGTTGTAGGAGTGGTGTTTGTTTCTGTGAGTGGTATTTGTTTCTGTGAGTGGTTGTAGGAGTGGTTTTGTCTCTGTGAGTAGTTGTAGGAGTGGTGTTTGTTTCTGTGAGTAGTTGTAGGAGTGGTGTTTGTTTCTGTGAGTAGTTGTAGGAGTGGTGTTTGTTTCTGTGAGTAGTTGTAGGAGTGGTGTTTGTTTCTGTGAGTGGTATTTGTTTCTGTGAATGGTTGTAGGAGTGGTTTTGTCTCTGTGAGTAGTTGTAGGAGTGGTGTTTGTTTCTGTGAGTAGTTGTAGGAGTGGTGTTTGTTTCTGTGAGTAGTTGTAGGAGTGGTGTTTGTTTCTGTGAGTGGTATTTGTTTCTGTGAATGGTTGTAGGAGTGGTTTTGTCTCTGTGAGTAGTTGTAGGAGTGGTGTTTGTTTCTGTGAGTAGTTGTAGGAGTGGTGTTTGTTTCTGTGAGTAGTTGTAGGAGTGGTGTTTGTTTCTGTGAGTAGTTGTAGGAGTGGTGTTTGTTTCTGTGAGTAGTTGTAGGAGTGGTGTTTGTTTCTGTGAGTAGTTGTAGGAGTGGTGTTTGTTTCTGTGAGTAGTTGTAGGAGTGGTGTTTTTTCTGTGAGTAGTAGGAGTGGTGCTTGTTTCTGTGAGTGGTTGTAGGAGTGGTGTTTGTTTCTGTGAGTAGTTGTAGGAGTGGTGTTTCTGTGAGTAGTTGTAGGAGTGGTGTTTGTTTCTGTGAGTAGTTGTAGGAGTGGTGTTTGTTTCTGTGAGTGGTTGTAGGAGTGGTGTTTGTTTCTGTGAGTGGTTGTAGGAGTGGTGTTTGTTTCTGTGAGTAGTTGTAGGAGTGGTGTTTGTTTCTGTGAGTAGTTGTAGGAGTGGTGTTTGTTTCTGTGAGTGGTTGTAGGAGTGGTGTTTGTTTCTGTGAGTAGTTGTAGGAGTGGTGTTTGTTTCTGTGAGTAGTTGTAGGAGTGGTGTTTGTTTCTGTGAGTAGTTGTAGGAGTGGTGTTTGTTTCTGTGAGTAGTTGTAGGAGTGGTGTTTGTTTCTGTGAGTAGTTGTAGGAGTGGTGTTTGTTTCTGTGAGTAGTTGTAGGAGTGGTGTTTTTTCTGTGAGTAGTAGGAGTGGTGCTTGTTTCTGTGAGTGGTTGTAGGAGTGGTGTTTGTTTCTGTGAGTAGTTGTAGGAGTGGTGTTTCTGTGAGTAGTTGTAGGAGTGGTGTTTGTTTCTGTGAGTAGTTGTAGGAGTGGTGTTTGTTTCTGTGAGTGGTTGTAGGAGTGGTGTTTGTTTCTGTGAGTGGTTGTAGGAGTGGTGTTTGTTTCTGTGAGTAGTTGTAGGAGTGGTGTTTGTTTCTGTGAGTAGTTGTAGGAGTGGTGTTTGTTTCTGTGAGTGGTTGTAGGAGTGGTGTTTGTTTCTGTGAGTAGTTGTAGGAGTGGTGTTTGTTTCTGTGAGTAGTTGTAGGAGTGGTGTTTGTTTCTGTGAGTAGTTGTAGGAGTGGTGTTTGTATTTGTTTCTGTGAGTGGTTGTAGGAGTTGTGTTTGTATTTGTGTCTTTAGTGTAAACGGAGCCATAGTGTCTACCTGGGGTCTACATGGAGAGTGCTCTGAGGGTCGACGCCCCCGAGGCCCGGTCCCAGATCAGGCCTTCCAGTGGATAGATTAATCAACCAGACTGTTGGTGCTGGCCACACGAAGTCGAGCGTACGCACCACATCCCGGCTGATCAGGAGGTAACTGGAGGAACTTAGCAAATTCTCTTTTTGAAGACAGCCAGGGGCCTGCTGGTACTCTCTCTATGTGAAGGAAGGATATTGAAAAGTCTTGGTCCCTTCACACTTACCGAGTTATCTGTGATTGTACTCATGGCACACCTGCTTTTTATCGAAGATATTTGGCACCATCTGCCAAGCCATTTGCTATAATAGAGAAGGATTGCAGTAGTGTATGTAGTATTAGTATAAGTGTAGTCAGATAATAATAATGATAATAATAATAATAATAATAATAATAATAATAATATAAACCTTTGTAATAGATACATACCGACAAATTGGTTTAGAAAGACAGGTAAGCAAACACTAGGACATATTAGCAAACTTTTCGATCTTGGGACCTTGATAAAGGAAGTGATCAAGGTCTCAAGACCGATACGTTTTCTAATAAATGTGTTAGTGTTTGCCTACGTGTCTTTCTAAACCAATAATAATAATAATAATAATAATAATAATAATAATAATAATATAACTTTTATTATTATAACATTTATAATTGTTAAAACCCGAGTAAATTTAGGTCAGTAGCCTAGAAATTAAATGTCTTACACATTGTACGATGTTTCTCACCTGCACGAGGCTTTACATGTTAAAACTTCACGTGTAAGTGAAACGTTGCACTAATGAGTGTACCTTGGTGCGTGTCTTGTTACCACTTGCGATCTATGCCAAACTTCAACAACCTGTACAGAAAAACCTGCGCATCGCTGCAAGCTGTTACTTCAAGCTGAATGCTTAGTCTTAAAAGAGGAGCTTAACTGCCGCCCAGGGCGTTGTAGCCACCCTCGGGCACTGAATATTGACCTCGCAGCGTGTCTTATTGATAAAAGTTCCAACATGTTGCATTGGCACGTGACTTTCAAGACTGAGTATGTGGGTATAGTTAATGCTTGTAAGTTATCACGTGTGATAACTTGTATCTTGTTAGGTAAATGGAAACAGATGCAAGTTCAGAGCCGGATTAAGATTTTGTAGGCCCCTGGGCTACAGGTACTGTGAGACCCCTGGGCTACAGGTACTGTGAGACCCCTGGGCTACATGTACTGTGAGACCCCTGGGCTACAGGTACTGTGAGACCCCTGGACTACAGGTACTTTGAGACCCCTGGGTTACAGGTACTGTGAGGCCCCTAGGCTACAGGTACTATGAGGCCCCTAGGCTACAGGTACTGTGAGGCCCCTAGGCTATAGGTACTGTGAGGCCCCTAGGCTACAGGTACTGTGAGGCCCCTAGGTTATAGGTACTGTGAGACCCCTGGGCTACAGGTACTATGAGGCCCCTAGGCTACAGGTACTGTGAGGCCCCTAGGCTATAGGTACTGTGAGGCCCCTAGGCTACAGGTACTGTGAGGCCCCTAGGTTATAGGTACTGTGAGACCCCTGGGCTACAGGTACTGTGAGGCCCCTGGGCTACAGGTACTGTGAGGCCCCTGGGCTACAGGTACTGTGAGGACCCTGGGCTACAGGTACTGTGAGACCCCTGGGCTACAGGTGCTGTGAGACCCCTGGGCTACAGGTACTGTGAGACCCCTAGGCTACAGGTACTGTGAGACCCCTAGGCTACAGGTACTGTGAGACCCCTGGGCTACAGGTACTCTGAGACCCCTGGGCTACAGGTACTGTGAGACCCCTGGGCTACAGGTACTGTGAGGCCCCTGGGCTACAGGTACTGTGAGGCCCCTAGGCTACAGGTACTGTGAGACCCCCTAGGCTACAGGTACTGTGAGACCCCTGGGCTACAGGTACTGTGAAACCCCTGGGCTACAGGTACTGAGACCCCTGGGTTACAGGTACTGTGAGACCCCTGA